TGCCCCACTGCCCTGGGGGTGGCAGGGGAGCCCCCGGGGTGTGATCTACACCGCGGGGTGGGGGGAGGAAGGTTCAGGCAGGAAACCCACAGGAGCCTGTAGCTCCTGCATCCCTTTCTCCAGGGACTCAACAACGGAAAAGCGCTTCCTCCTGCTGCCCTGTGTTGGACATTGTCCTGCCCTGAGTCACCCAGTTTGTTTGTCAACACCCTCCGGCTTCCCTCCTCCTCCTCCTCCTCCTCCTCCTCTTCCTCCCAGGCGTGGGGTGGGAGTTGTTCCCAACCTGCTCCATGGGATGGGACAGGGACTGTCCTCCTTGCACAAGGATGCCCAGCATGGGCACCATCACCTGGGGGGGACACACAAGGATGGCGTGGCGTGTCCTGACTTGGTGTCTTGGGTTTTTGTCCCATCCTGTCCAGGGCAATAAATGTCCTCAGCAAGGGGCTGGATGAAGCTCTTCCCTCATGCTGGAATAACTCCTTCCCTAGTGCGTCCCAGCCCCATGGACCCCCTTCTCGGTGGGGCAGGGGGGGCGAGGTGGAACGTGGCTGGGTGGCTCTGTCCCATGGGGCTGCCCAGGCATAGGGTGGGAGTTGTTCCCAACCTGCTCCATGGGATGGGACAGGGACTGTCCTCCTTGCACAAGGATGCCCAGCATGGGCACCATCACCTGGGGGGGACACACAAGGATGGCAGGTGTGGGATGTCCTGCCAGGGCTTCCAGGAAGGCTGAGATGTCACTGGGTGCTTTGGGTTTGTGTCCCATCCTGTCCAGGGCAATAAATGTCCTCAGCAAGGGGCTGGATGAAGCTCTTCCCTCATGCTGGAATAACTCCTTCCCTAGTGCGTCCCAGCCCCATGGACCCCCTTCTCGGTGGGGCAGGGGGGGCGAGGTGGAACGTGGCTGGGTGGCTCTGTCCCATGGGGCTGGTGGTCCCGGGCACCCAGTGGGTGGGAGAAGCCAGGGATGCAGCAGGAGCTCCTCCATGGCCAGAGGGTTGAGGAGGTGGGTGGCAGCACAGGGAGGGTCCCCAGGAGCTCACACCTTGTTCTGGCATCCCCAGGGAGTCGCCAGCCCGTTAATTGCCAGCTGTTAATTTGGGGTGGGACTTCCTACAGACACCAGCCCACGCTAGGGTGGCAGAGGTGCCACCAGGCCTCACCCCTGGTGTGGGATCCCCAGCCTTCCTGCTGCCATGAGCCTTGTCGGGCATCGCTGGCTGCTCATCCCTGATGCCACCCAGGAGCATCCTCCTTCTGCCAGGACACTGGGTGCCAAGGGGATGGGCTACTACAGGGTTGGGTCCGGAGGTGGCCGGCAAACACCAAAAGGCACCTGGCTGCCGTTGGGTGGGAGGTTGCCAGTAGTGGGAAGAGGTTGGCCGTGGCTTCCTTAAGCGTGACACTCATTTCCTAGCCGTGCCCACAGACCAGCTCCAGCGTGGGAGGTGGTGATGGGCTCCAGGCTTGGTCTGGAGGCTGAAACCATCACCCTGTCCCAGGGTTGGGGGGATACTGATGGTGGGAAGGGTCTGGGAGATGGGCGCCGCGACGTGCTGGAGATGTGGGGTGGTTTCTTGTGAGGCTGTGTGTGTGTGTCTTCTTTCATGGGGAAATAAATAACTCCCCTGGCATGTCAGGGCTCCCTGCCAGCGGGGAAGGGCTGGTTCTGGGCAAGCCAGGGCTTTACCTGCAGCCGTCGTGTCGGGGCACGGGGCTCGCTGGGAGCCAGCGTGTTGGGGCAGGGGACATCGCCGGCTCTTGGGGCCTCTTCTGCTGGTGGCCTTCCCACGTGTGAGGGAGGTGGGAGCCCTCCCAGCCCCTGCCTGTGCTCACAGCCTTCCCTTCCCTTCCCTCCCCGGGGTGGGGGGGCTTTCCCTGCCTCCCCCTCAGCAAGGGCTTGGCCAAAGGCATTGCCTTGAGCAAGCTGGGACACGCACGGAGGGCATCCCCGCTCTGCCTGGGAGGAGGAGGAGGAGGGCTGGGGACAGGAGGGACAGAGCTGGCATCATGGCTGAGAGCTTTCCTCAGGTCCTCGGGTGAGCCCAGAGAAAGAAAAGCACCCCACAGACCACCACCCCCCCCCATCAAACACCCCTAACCCCATTGCAGCGACCCATCGAGGGAATCGCAGCCAAGAACTGGGATTTCCCAAGCCTCTGCCTCCCTCCTGCCCCCAAAATTGCTGCAGAGGTTGGCTCGGAGCCCAGGGAGGCTCGGCACCTCTTGGCACACCCCCTGTCAGCTCTATCCCACCCTCCCCGGGACCCATGGGCCCCCATCCCTCCAGCTGAGCCCCACAGCAGGTTGCAACAAGCCGCTGGCTCCCACCCATGGCCCTGCTGCAGCTGCTGGTCCAGCCCCACCATGGGAACAGCAAAGGTGACACGTGGGCATGGGGACAGTCACTGGAACAGCCACCAAAACAGCCCAGGGTTTGGTGTGGAGACAGCTCTGGTCCATGGGGATGCAATGGGTGGTGGGTCCCGCGGGCAGACCCTGCAGCCTGGTCCCAGCCCATGGGGAAGGAGCAGTCTCATTGAATCATAGAATGGTTTGGGTTGGAAGGAACCTTAAAACCCACCCAGTGCCACCCCCTGCCCTGGGCAGGGACACCTCCCACCACACCAGGTTGCTCCAAGCCCCCTCCAACCTGGCCTTGAACCCCTCCAGGGATGGGGCAGCCACAGCTTCTCTGGGCAACCTGGGCCAGGCTCTCACCACCCTCAGAGGGAAAAATTTCTTCCCCACATCACGTCTCAATCTCCCCTCTTTCAGTTTGAAACCATTCCCCCTTCTCCTATTGCTACTCTTCTTGACCCAGAGTCCCTCCCCATCTCTCCTGGAGACCCTTGAGGGACTGGAAGGGGCTCTAAGGTCTCCCTGGAGCTTTCTCTTCTCCAGCCTGAACCCCCCCAACTCTCTCAGCCTGTCCTCACAGCAGAGGTTCTCCAGCCCCCTGATCATCTCCGTGGCCTCCTCTGGCCCCGCTCCAACAGGCCCATGTCCTTCTGATGTTGAGGACTCTAGAACTGGACACAGGACTCCAGCTGGGCTCTCCCCAGAGCGGAGCAAAGGGGCAGAATCCCCCCCCGGCTCTGCTGGCCACGTTGCTGGGGATGCAGCCCGGGGTGTGGAGGTCTTTCTGGGCTGCCAGACCATGTTGCTGGTTCACGTTGAGCTTCTCATCCACCAACACCCCCAAGTCCTTCTCCTCAGGGCTGTTCTCAAGCCGTTCTCCACCCAACCCGTATTTGTGCTTGGACCCACCCGTCCCATTCCCATCCATCTTACACCATCCTGCCACCAGCAGCTGCCCTTGCTCCCAGTGAGCGGGGAGATGTGGGGAAGCTGGAAAGCTGTCTCCTTGCTGGATGGGGCTCTTGCCTCCCACCCTACCAGGACCCTGGGTCCCATGTGTCTCGAAGCTTTTCAGGAGGCAGAAGGGCTGGAGGGATCCAGGGATGCTCATCCACGGGGTGAGCTTTGAAGGTGGGGAAGCGTGAGGCTTGAGCACTTGCCTTGCCCCTGCAGGACCCAAGTCTGGTCCCACCACCCAGTTTGCAGAAGGTTTCACCCCATCCTTGGGCTGCAGCCCCCAGAGGTGCCCAGATGTGAGATCCCCAGCTCCTGGTTGTTGCCCCCTGGGTGGGGGGCTGGATGTGCCCACCATGGCTCTATGGAGAACCCGGTGCTATGTGGGGGTGGGAGTGGAGGAAGGGGCAGAGCGGAGCCGTTCCTCGCACGCAGATTTCCTCCTGGCCTCCTGGACCGGAGGGGGAGGAAGGACTAAAACTCCACCTTTTCCCCCTTTTCAAAGGGAAAGGGCAGCAGCGTTCGTTCGATGCAGGACTGGTGGGAGATGGTGCCTTTCTCCGTGCCCTCCTGCCCGCAGCTGGGCCCCCAGCCCCACTCGGAGTTTGGGGGGGAGCTTAGACCCCTCTGCTATGGGGGTCCCCAGGATGGGACGTCCCCACGCAGCAGGGATGGACGGGACACTCTGCCCTGGAGCTGGCAGAGGACCTGGGGCAGGACATCCCTCCCCTTCTGCTGCACTGGGGGACTCCTGGGGCATGGGACGCTCGCCCTGGCTCCTTCCCTCTGCTCAGCACTTGGCATGATGCCCCTTGGGGGGGGTCCCTGCATGAAGGGACGTGCCCCAAAGCTGGGGTGACCTCAGTGGTGCTGTGTGTGGGGTGGGAGAGCAGGCTGCCAGCTCCCAGGCACCCAAAGCGGTGGTGGCTCAGCCCTGGAAACCATCCTGAGCTTCTTCCTCTGATCCCAGTGATGGGGACAGAGCCCTGCCTTGGGAATGTCCCCACACTGGGGACATCCGTGCCTTGCCTCTGCCCAGGAGCTGCTTTGCTTTGCTGGCTGCTGCAAGGAAGGCACCAAGGATGCTCCGTGCCACCCACCATGGGCTGCCAGCCCCATGGGGCAGGAACCCACCAGCCCAGCTTGTCCATGTTCACCAAGCAAAGGTGCTTCTGGAGCATCTTTGACCATGGGAGACACTAAGCCCATCTCCACCCTCGGCTGGGGCATCGCCCTCCGTGGGGAGGAGGGAGCAGGCGTGGGGGGCATGGCGTGGGACGGGCACTGTGGGGCAGGTGGAGACCTTCTGTCCTGTCCTGGTCTGACAGAGGAGCTGTGCTGCAGCAGAGCCCAGAACAGACTGAGGGTTGTTTTGTTCAAATACCTCTTGGGTTTTGTTGTTGGGTTTTGGTGGGTTTTTTGTTGGTTTTTTTTTTTTTGGAGGTACATAAACGTCTTTGTTTGGTGTCCTCCCGTGGTGCTGGATTGGGTTTCCCTCTGGCACTGGCCAGTTCAGCGCAGGGAGAACCGTGCCAGGTTCAGCTCCTCTCCCTGGGGCTGGGCACAGGGGGCCACGATGGGGCTGGCTGCTTGTCCCCTGCCAACACTGGAGCATTTACTGGGACATCCTGGAGCGAGGACCACCCACCCCCTGCCATCCCTGGCACCGAGCATCTTTGACCATGGGAGACACTAAGCCCATCTCCACCCTCGGCTGGGGCATCGCCCTCCGTGGGGAGGAGGGAGCAGGCGTGGGGGGCATGGCGTGGGACGGGCACTGTGGGGCAGGTGGAGACCTTCTGTCCTGGCCTGGTCTGACAGAGGAGCTGGGCACAGGAGCTGTGCTGCAGCAGAGCCCAGAACAGACTGAGGGTTGTTTTGTTCAAATACCTCTTGGGTTTTGTTGTTGGGTTTTGGTGGGGTTTTTGTTGGTTTTTTTTTTTTTGGAGGTACATAAACGTCTTTGTTTGGTGTCCTCCCGTGGTGCTGGATTGGGTTTCCCTCTGGCACTGGCCAGTTCAGCGCAGGGAGAACCGTGCCAGGTTCAGCTCCTCTCCCTGGGGCTGGGCACAGGGGGCCACGATGGGGCTGGCTGCTTGTCCCCTGCCAACACTGGAGCATTTACTGGGACATCCCGGAGCGAGGACCACCCACCCCCTGCCATCCCTGGCACCTGGAGATGCCCAAGTTTGATCTGGCCCCTTTTCCTTGGGGACCCCCTTGGTCCTGCAGCTCCCAGATGCCATGGGGTGCCATGTGGGTGCCCAAAGGATGCTGCTGCCCCTGTGCCACCCCACAGCGGCACTGCCAGCGCCCTGGGGTTGACTCAGCCACGGTGGGGGTTACACCACACTGGCATGGATGCAATGCTGCCTGGCCGGTGCTGGTGGCTGAGCAGAACCTTATCTGGGGAGGGGTGATGCTGGGTCCCACCCTGCTGTGGGGCAGCACCCACCCTGGGGTGAGAACCAAAGGGTTGGCAGCTCTTTTCCAGCCTGGCTGGGCACTGGTGGGACCCTGGGGGACAAGGGTGGTGTGGGGGTGATGTGACTGCAGCCAGGATGAGGGCAGTGGATCCTGGGATGGTACCCAGCTTGAGCTGAGCCGCCCCACAGGGATGCTTCATCTCCCCACAACCACCTCCCTGACCATGGGACATTCCCTGAGTGTCCTCTGAGCGCAACCACCTCTTCTGGTGGGCTTGAACCTGGTCCCTGTGCCCACTGGGCAGGTGGCACCTTGGGCTGGGGGTAGGGTTAGCCCAGTTGGGGTGTCTGTGTGGGCACCTGCACCCTGTGGCTGGTGCAGAGCACGTTGCTGGTTCATGTTGAGCTTCTCGTCCACCAACACCCCCAAGTCCTTCTCCTCAGGGCTGTTCTCAAGCCGTTCTCCACCCAACCTGTATTTGTGCTTGAACCCACCCGTCCCATTCCCATCCATCTTACACCATCCTGCCACCAGCTTTTATTTCCCAGCCCCACCAGCAGCTGCCCTTGCTCCCAGTGAGCGGGGAGAGATGTGGGGAAGCTGGAAAGCTGTCTCCTTGCAGGACGGGGCTCTTGCCTCCCACCCTACCAGGACCCTGGGTTCCATGTGTCTCAGAGCTTTCAGCAGGCAGAAGGGCTGGAGGGATCCAGGGATGCTCATCCATGGGGTGAGCTTTGAAGGGCATCACCCCTGAAGGCATGGGTGTTCAAGGATGGGTGTTCAAGGATGGGGTAGGAGGGTCTTTGCCTGGATGGGGCAGGGTTGGGTGGGCAGGAGGGGGACCTCCTCCTGCCCCCATCCCTTGGAGGCTGCTTGGGCAGGGAGGGAGGTAGAGAGCAGAAATCTCTCTCTGGGCTCAGGCCAGCCCTGACCAGCTTCTCCAGAGATGTTCCAAGGCCCCGAACGCTGTTTTATTATTCACATGCACATTCCTCACCCGCAGGAACCCCCCCCAGCAGCCAGCCCCCTTCCTGGGGAGCAGCGGGACACCGGCATCCACGCTGAGGGAAAACACTGGCCGGCACGTAGCCGGACCCTAATTAAAATTAATCCCTCATCCCCTGGGCTGGATACGGCCCCGAGTCACGGGAAGGGGAGCGATGCAGGGGGGGCTGAGTGGGGTCGGGTGGTTGGGAATGGGGAGGGTGAAGGGTGTCCGAGCAAGCGATGGAGAGCACCGCCGGGGTTTTTTTGGCTGAGGAGCTGCTGCTGAACGTGCTGCTTGGTTTTTCGGGCCCCCTCTCCCTCACCTCCTCCCCCCACGCCGTGGATTTTCGTGGTCTTTTTTTTAAGATCCTCCTGCGGCCAGGGCTGCGCTCCGGCAGGTTTGTTTGCTCTGGGCTGGGAGGGGAACGACGTTGAGCAACCGCCGGGGCTGGGTGCGGTGCTGGGAAGAGAGAGAGAGAGGGATGGGTGCTGCCAGGGTTGGGGGGACAGACACCCCCCCGCCCCACACACACCTCCCCATCCCCAGGGAGCATCCCTAGGGATGCTACGGGGTGCTGCCAGCCGTCGGGATGCGGGATGCTGCGGGTGGAGGGTGCACCTTGGAAGGGGACGAAGCAAAGAGCCGTGTCCCCGATGGGTGCCCCAGGCCCGAGCTGGCACTTTACGGGCCCTTCTGACTCATCCGGGGGCAGAGCTGAGGGCGGCCAAGGCAGGGCCAGAGAGGATGAACCGGTTCAGGCCTGGTTTCTCCTGGTTTCTCCTCTCCCGAGGCTCGGCTGCCTCATCCCTTCCTGCTGCTCAGCTCCCCCCCCTCCTTGGCCGTCCTGCCCACCCCTTCCCCGAAAGGGTGTTGAGTCAGAGGCCAGCTCGACAAGGGGGAGGCAGGATGAGTCCCCTTTCCACCCACACCGTGCCTCTGAGCTGGAAAATATTCCCCGTGGAGCTGGGAAAATATTCCCCAGGGAGAGATCCTGGGGTCCCCCCCGGTGCTGAGCTCCGTCCCGGTGCAGGGAATGCTCAAAGAGCTGGGAGCAGCTCCCGTTGCTCCAGATAAACCCACTCTAAATCCCAGTAGGATCCGGGAGCAGAAACACCCTGAGCTGGTTTGGGGTGGGTTTGTGTGGAGGGTGCATTTGGGTGCAGGGAGATAAATTGGGGGGGGGGGGAGGAGGAAGCATTCCTGGTCTTTGCTCTCCCCTCTCTGTTTGTTTTTCGCTGGTTCAGTCTCTCCTCGTCTGTGTGTGAGGGGAAAAAAAAGGGTCAGCTTTTTGCTGTTATCAGGAACAAACCCTCCTTCAGCCCCTTTTTGGCTGCTGTGGCCCCCTGGGTGGGGAGCTGGTGCCTGACCCCCCCCCAACAGCATCACGCTGGAAACCCCCATCCCAGGGGGGTGGATGCTCCAGGGATGGAGTCAGACCCCCGCGAAGGAGTTTGTGTTTCTGGCTGGAAATGAGCTCAGCCCCAAATTCCCAAACCCCAGACTGGGGCTTAACCCTTCGGATGCACCCCTGGGTGCTGGGGGGATGCTCGCCCACCTCCCTGCAGGGAGACACGGCGAGGGGTCTCGTCTCTTCTGGGTGCCCTGCTTGGCAGTGACACCTCTTGGCACTGTCCCTTCTCCTGGGTTGTCACCACGTGGCTGGTGGCCCAGAGCCACCCCATCCCACCTCCTGTCCCGCTGCCCTTCCTAAAATCTTGTAGGGACAGAGCCTGTGAGCAGGGAGGGTGGCACAGCAGCGGGGGCACTGTGCCCGGGGAGGGGACACCCCGTGTCCATGGGCTCAGCATCTCCTGAGAGGGTGCTCAGGGCTCGTAGGGGGTGGCTGGTTTGGGGTCTGGCTCAGTACCCCGTGTGCTGGGTGACACATCCATGGCATGCCATGGTCCATCTACACCCCCCCTTCTCCTCGCCGTGCCGTGCTGTGCACCCCATCCTTGGGGCACCCCTTGGCAGGGGATGCCCAGACACATAATGCCAGGATTTGGGGGACATAAAGGTGGCCAAGGGGGCAACAAACTTCAGACCCAGACACGTTTATGCCAGGCTGTGGTGTGGCATTGCTGGAGCAGCCCCATGGCGAGGGATGACCATCCATCCAGTGGCATCAACCTGCCCGTGGTGGCCTTGTCCCCTTGTTTCCTGTGCTGGAAGAGCCACCCTCATTGTCCTCCCTTGGGAAGAGCCAGAGCAGCCTGAGATGGGGCAGGGGGTCGGTGTGGGGAAGTCGGTGCTTGGGTGACTTGGGTGACAACTATGGGGCCACCGGTAGCTCCACTGCCTCCCTGGCACACCAGGCATGGGACCCACCAGCCAGGTGGCCTCTCCCTGGCACGCTGGGGACAGCTGGAGGTGCCACGGGGCTGTCCCCATGAGTGGTTTTATTGCCTTTATCTGGGTGGCAATCGGCTTCCCTTCGTTCTTGCCTCCCTGAGGTGTGAGGTGGCCGGGCTGGTGGCACCCTCCGTCCCCATGAGTGGTTTTATTGCCTTTATCTAGGTGGCAATCGGCTTCCCTTCATTCTTGCCTCCCTGAGGTGTTAGGTGGCCGGGCTGGTGGCACCAGCCAGCCCCTGGGATGTCCCTGTCAGTGCCACCCACTCTGGGGCTGCTGGGAGCAACCCACCCCCGCTCGCTAATCATTTACTGGCTAAATTAGTGATTAACTCCTTCCTCAGAAGCCTTGGCAAGTCTGGACGGGCCAGCACACAGGGCTCACAGGTCTCCTGCCAGCGGGGTGTCCTATGGGCCACCACGGCACAGGCCATTGCCACCATGGCAGAGGGACCTTCACCAGGGTGGGGACACCCAGCAAAGGGACATGATGGCACGGAACCACCCCCCTACCCCGGGTGCCCTCTCCTCTGTTGTTCTGCAGATACATCCCTCACCCACCCATCACAGAGCCAGCAGCGAGGAGACACAGGAGCCTTTGAGGGGACACGGGAGCCTTTGAGGGGACATGGGGAGCCTTTGAAAGGACATGGGGGACCTGTGAAGGGACATGGGAGCCTTTGAGGGGACATGGGGAGCCTTTGAGGGGACACTGGGACCCTCCAAGGGGACACAGGGAGGCTTTGAGGGGCACAGGGAACCTGCGAGGGGACATGGGAGCCTGTGAGGGGACAAGGGGGGCCTCTGAGGAGCACAGGGAGGCTTTGAGGGGACATGGGGAACCTGCAAGGGGACACAGGGAGGCTTTGAGGGGACACGGGAGCCTCCGAGGGGACACGGGGAGGCTTTGAGGGGACACTGGGAGCCTTTGAGGGGACACTGGGACCCTCCAAGGGGACACAGGGAGGCTTTGAGGGGCACAGGGAACCTGCGAGGGGACACAGGAGCCTTTGAGGGGACAT